GGAAAACAGAGAAAATTGACGAGTACAAAGAGACTTAAGAGATCACTTTGGAATTGGAGAAATCAGAGGAGAAATGTAAAAACTGCTACAATTGAGTGAAAATGAAAAGCCCAGCCTATCAGAGCATGTGGGAAACAGTAAAGGCAGTTGGAAGAGGAAGGCTTATACCTGTGAGTACTTCTATTAAAAAGCAGAGCTAGGCTGGGAAGATGGCTTAGCAGGTGAAGGGTTTGACTGTGGGGAGACTCCTCAGAACCCACATAAAAGCCAGGTGGGCATGGCAGCTGCCTGTAATCCTAACACCCAGGAGGCAGAGGATGGCCAGAGCAAGCTGGTAGCTAGATTATCTGGGACTGGAGAGCTCCCAAGATGCTGACTCAGAAAATAAAGTGGGGAGTGTTTGAAGACGACATCATACCACAATTCAGTTTTCCACATACAAGTGCTCACATACACGTACATATATGTATCCACACGCTTGGAATGTGTATGCACACCACACATACACATGCAAAAAAAGAAAAAACAAAAACAAAAACAAAAAAACCCAGAGATCTCACATAAATAACTTAATGAAGTTTTAGAAGAACAAGAATGAGCCCTGGCCCAAAACAGTAGACAGAACAAAATTAAAAGGACCCAAGTAGAAATTAGGGGATGGACACTAACAGAGCAATACAAAGCAAAGGAAACAAAGAAAAACAAAGTTTTGTGGAAAAAAAAAAAAAAAAACAAGATCGACAAACCCTTGCCCAAATGAATCAAAAGAAAGAGAAGGCTCAAATTAATAAAATTAGAAAAAGGGGGAGGGGGCATGGAAACAGATACCAACAAACCGCAGAGGATCATTAGGAAGTACTTTGAAAACTGATAGTCCAAAAATATGGGAAATCTAGTAATAATAAATACGTTCCATTCCTAGATGCATATGACCTACCAAAATTGCAGCAGGAGAATACATGTTAAATAGATCCATAACACGCAGTGTGGTTGAAGCAGTCATAGTTTCCCAACAAAGAATTCTATGAGTCCTTTAAAGAAGAGCAAACACTAATACTCCTCAAGATGCTGCATGGGTTGGAAAGGGAAGGAAGAAAACAAACTATTTAACTCATTTCACAAATGAAAGACCTCTGCAATGCAAACTATAAGCCAGACATGGCTGGCCAAGCTGGGGAATCCAGAGTTCAAGGTCATTCTTAGCTAGTGTCCTGGCAAACTTTGGCCACATAAGACTCTGTCTTCTATCTCAATGAAAACAAACAAACAAACAAACAAACATGTATTCTGTCATTATCCTGAGACATAAACCAGGTTAGAACAAAACAAGAAAACACTATAGACCGCTATCTCTAATAGACATAGATATAAAAATTCTCCATAAAATACCTGCAAACTGAATTCACCACAATACATTTTAAAAAGAAGTAGAAGGAGAAGAAGGAGCAGGAGGAGGAGGAGGAGGAGGAGGAGGAGGAGGGAGGAGGAGGAGGAGGAGGAGGAGGAGGAGAAGAAGAAGAAGAAGAAGAAGAAGAAGAAGAAGAAGAAGAAGAAGGAGGTATGCACCACAATCATGTTGGTTTAATCTGGGAGACCAGAATATTGCAGCATATGCAAATCAGTCACTTTTTTAGACTCAGAGACAAGTCACTAGGTCATTCCAATAGATACAGAAAAGGTCTTTGACCTCCCTTCATAATGAAAACCCCAAATAAACAATGACCTCAACACAGTAAAGGTTACATGTCAATAAACCTACAGCCAACCTTATACTAAGTGGTAAAAAACTAAATGCATTGCCTCAAAGATCAGGAAGGAGATATGGGTGTCCACTTTCTATTTTTTTTTTCCAGAGCTGAGGACCGAACCCAGGGCCTTGCACTTGCAATCGCTCTACCACTGAGCTAAATCCCCAACCCCCCCCCCCCCCCCACTTTCTATTCTTATTCAATAAAGTGCCTGAGTTTTAGCTATAGAATTAAGGCAAAAGGAAAAAAAAAGGGGGCGGGATTGAGAGAGACTGATTATCCCTCTTGCTAAATGAAAGTATCCTGTGTGTGTGTGGGGGGGGGGGGCGGGGGGGATGCAAACCTACAATCCCCGTCATACAACAAGAGGGCAAGGTAAGAGGGTTTTCAGTTTGACACCAGCCTGGGCTACATAGTGAGATTCTGTTTCTATAAACAAACAGCCTAACCACAAAAACAAACAAACAAAAAAAAACCCAAAAACCATAAGATATCAAAAAACAAACCAGAAACACTACTGACTTTCTACTGTAAGTTCCACAGCAAACTGCTGCACACGACACTTCCTCACTGGGGCATGACATGAAGCTTAAACCCAAGGCCTGTTCTATTCCACTCGTTTTGTATAAGTACGTATAATATATAGAATCTTGTAGAAAAAAAAAATGCACCAGATAGAGTACCACGGAAAAGTGTCTTAGTTTGGTTTCTATTGCCACGTTAAAACAAGATGATCCAAAGCAACTCAGAGAGAAAAGGGTTTATTTCAGCTTACAGTTGTAATCCCTCATGAAGGGAAGTCAGGGCAGGAACTCAAGGGCAGGAACCCAGAGGCAGGAACTGAAGCAGAGACCCAAACTGTAGCAGACAGCTACTTACTGGCTTGCTCTCCCGTGGCTTGCCAGTTTGCTTCCGTCTACCACCCAGAACCACCTGCCCAGGGGTGGCACTGCCCGCAGTGCTATCAATTAGCAATCAAAGAAAAGGACCCTCAGACTTCTCTACTGGTAATCTGACGGAGGCGTTTTCTCAGGTGAGTTCCTCTTCCCCTTTAATTCTAGCTTGTGTCAAGCTGACAAGAAACTGAGGACAGGGAGTATAATGCATTTATTTACAAACGGACAGTTAGTATCATGGCATAATATCATGAGTGTAACAAATATATACAATTAATGTAATTAATGAATATCATAAATATAATTATTGAATGAATACTGCGGATGTGATCAATGAATACCACAAATGTAATTAATATCATGAGTGTCATTAATGAATATCATGAGTACAATTAAAAATAAACAAATATGCCGGCCGGTGGTGGCGCACGCCTTTAATCCCAGTACTCGGGAGGCAGAGCCAGGCCGATCTCTGTGAGTCTGAGGCCAGCCTGGGCTATGGAGTGAGATCCAGGACAGGCACAAAGCTACACAGAGAAACCCTGCCTCGAAAAACCAAAAAAAACAAAACAAAACAAAAAAACCAAATAAATTAATTAAAAAATAATGCATTTATTTATTTGTTGTGTGTGTATGTGTGTGTGTAGCGGGGTGAAGGGATGGGTGTCGGAGGTCAGAGGACAGCCGGTAGCAGTTGGTCCTCCCTTGCCACTAGGTAGGTTCCAGGAATCGAATTTAGGAATTTGAATTCACCAGGCTTGGTAGCAAGCACCTTGACCCACTAGGCCATCTCATTGGCTCTAATACTTCTTTTTTTTTTTTTTTGACAAGGTCTCACTGGGTAGCCCTGGCTGTCCTGGACCTCACAGATAGATTCTGCTTGCCTTTGCCTTCCTAGCTCTGGAATTAAAGGCCAGGGAAATCACAACCCACCCTAACACATTTTTTTTAAAGGCAATTAGTAGTTACTCTTGATGAGATTCTCTCTAAAATTTACCCTGAAAAGGGCCGAGAAATCACACAATACAATGTGACACTGGCCAGGGGCTAAGGCAATCTACAAACTAGTCTCTGAATCAGCAGGGATCACAGGATTGCTGAATTCTATCAGGAGGTGAAGTTAGCCAGGTAGGAGGTCACATCCCGGGGCTGTAGGTGCTGGGTCAGGAGAGTGCCTCTTCAGATATGTCTATGGAGAAGGACCTTCCAAAGTCCACAGTAGGCTGGATGGTGGTGGTATACGCCTTTAATTTCAGCACCTTGAAGGCAGAAGCACGCGGATCTCTGTGAATTACAGGGCAGCCTGGGCTACAAAGCTGAGTTCCAGGACAATCAGGGCTGTTACACAGAGAAACCCTGTCTGGTGGGGGTCGAGGGGAGAGGAATAAGCAAGACTTTCTCTATGATTTAGGTTCATCTTCATCCGTAGAATTTAAGTTGAAATGCCCTCTGTCCTCAAGGGCAAAGTGAGTTGAGTGCAACTGTTTACTTACTGTAAACTCAGGAAGTCTCTAGCTGGTCAGTTTTGCTCTTGACAACCCACCACATCACATCTGAGTGTCCTACAGTTTCTTCCAAATTCTATTCTGCGCTAACCTAAGGAAGAAACTCAGTGGCCTTGAGTAGATGAATAATCCAGTTTCCTGAACTATCGATTTTTGAGGCAGCTAAGGTGAGGCTGAGGGACAGGCACCATCTGGTCACCAGGCTTTTAAACAATCACCTCTTCTATCTTGTCCACTTACTGTTCCCTGGAGGCAGTGGATGTCTGGGAACTAGAGCGAGCATTAGTCCCTTTGAGGTTATGCGCTCCCATCCCCGGGCTCGGCAGGCTTAGCCGAACGGGGTGCAGCAGCCCAGTCCCGGTGAAAGTTGGCACGGTTTGCCTCGGTCAGAGCGCGAGCCGAAGCAAGCCGGGCGGAATCTGGCAACGCCATCCTTTCCCGTCCTCCGCTGCCTCCCCGTCCCCGGGCGGCGGGCGCCCCGCAGACCCGGAGCCCGCAGGGCAGGAGAGACCCGGGTGGCGCCCCGCGTGGCCGCGCACACCCGCCGGTGCAGACTCCGGTCCTCAAGCCCCGCCTCCCGGGCCCAGCTGATCCGCGCCGCCCTGCAGGCCCCACGCCTCGGCCCCGCCGAGCCCCACTCCGCCCGCGCCCGCCGTCCCTGCGCCGCCGCCGCCGCCGCCGCCGCCGCCCTCGGTCCCCGGGCCGTGCACCTCCGGCTGCGCGCGCGCGCGCCGGGAGGGGAGCGGGAGGCGGGGCGGCCTGCACCGTGCGGCCGGGCGGAGAGTGTGGCGCGGCCCCGCCGCGGCCATGGAGGTCTACATCCCGTCCTTTCGCCACGAGGACAGCGACCTGGAGCGCGGCTACACGGTAGGCCGTCCCCGCGGGTCCCCCCTCCCTTCCCCAGCCCCCACTCCCCACGTTGTACCACCACCCCCCCGACTCCGCCAGCGCGGTCGTCATGGAGACGGGTGCCCCTCCCCAGCGCGCGCCCCCCTGGGCTCCATCCCTTCCCCCCCTCCGCGGCCCGCGGCCTCGGGAGCTTCGGGAACGGGGCCCCCGGCTGCCCTGTGCTTTGCTGGGTTGCAGGTTCTTCATGGTTTGCAAGTTCTGTGAGGTTCGTTCAGATGGAAAACGTGTTACCAAAGGGGGGGGGGGAGAGAAAAGGGGGGGAAAAAATCAACATTTGTGGTTGCTCATTAGCCAGGGTAACACATAGATTGATTTTTAGATTTTTTTTTTTAGATGGATTTTAGAGTTGGCTTCTTTTTAGTTCTGCAGTGGCATGAAACGACAAAATCAGGTGCTTTACCTGAGCACATGTCCCGTACCTAGAATAGAGTCGCCCAGAAATTTGAGACAGGTGGCTTGCTCTGAGTAGAAGCAACTGCAGAGACCAGCCCTGGACCCTTATAGTCACAAGTTAGAATACGAGTGAAGTGTTGGTTGATGTCCCAGTACATTTAAGCTCCTTCCTCTAGATAGCCATTGCAGGCGGGGAGAAACGCTTCAGATTGGTTAGAACTTGGAAGAGTTTGTGGTGTTGTTTTTGCAGTGGTTGGAGAACAGAAGAGAAAGATCATTCCAGACTGACACACTTAGTTTCTTCTCTTGTTGTCTAGCAGCTGTATTTTCTTTTCTGTCATTGCATTGGCCAGAGTTTCTTGTGAAATACCAAACAGTGATGTCCTCTGCCGCTTGTCCAGGTGAGATGTTGACTAAGACCTTGGCCGTGGGCTCAGAGCAGTCCTCTTCAACAAAGGGAAGGCGTGTCTTGCTCAGTCTAGTTTAAGGATTAGGAATAGGTGTGCTCCACAGTGTTCTCATCCGGACCTGCCGGGATGTTTATTTAGGTTTGGAGGAAGACTGCAGAGAGCAAGCAGCCTGGATGGACTGCTGTCTCATTCACCGCTGATTCACTTACTAACCATGTCATCCTGGAGCAGCATTTTAACCCTTCTTCCTTCCTCTAAGTAGTGCTGGTGTCTTGTGACAGCCCGTTTAAACCCTTGCGTTTTGAAAGTGAAAACTAAATCTCCCTCTGAAAAGATGCAGAAGTGTCCCGTCTCCCCCCCCCCCCCCCAAAGTGGCTGAAGTGCTCTCCATGGTCAGGAACTGGGGAGAGGAAGCTGGGCTCTCTCAGCAGTAACCTTTTCTTCTGTATCCTCTCGGGCACTTGACATGTGGTTAAGTATTGGTCAATGTCAGAGAGAGCACTTGCCTAGCATCCACAAGGCTATGGATTCCATTCCCAGCACTGCAAACACCAAGTATCGGCGAGGAAACCTTGGAACCTGAACCCATTCCAAGGAACAGAAACTTTGGCTCTATTTTATTCTTCCAGAAACCCCACCACTCCTGTTAGCATCAGCAGCACCTTGCATGGGGGAGGCATTCTTTTGGGGTTTAAAGGTAAAAGGACCTGTGGTTAAGGGGCCTTGGGCTTTGGGCAGCCCAGGCTAAAGGATCTTCCAATAGCTGGCAGTTCAGCTTCCTTGCCCAATACTGCAATTGTTTGCCTTCTTTACATACTATTTGTTAGAGATTTCATTACATGAATTTGTGTGTGTGTGTGTGTATGTGTGTGTGTGTGTACACGCACGTGTGGGCACTCTTGTTCCCACCCTTATGTGTGTATGGGCCACAGTTTACATGCAGAAAGTCAGAGGACAACGGTTGGAGTCAGTTCTCTCCTTCCTCGGATTGAGCTCATGCCTTCCGACTCAGCTGAAAATGCCCTTATCTTCTGAGCTATCCTGCTGGCCCTGTTTGTTTGTTTGGGATAGAGCCTTCCGTGTGTAACCTTGGCTGGCCTCAAAGTCAACGCAAACCTCTTAGCTCAGCTCTTTGGTGCTGGGTGTACAGGTGTGTGCTACCATATCCGGCCTGATTTTCTTTTATTAGAGAACCTGATTTTCTATCCCAAAGTGTATAACTTAGTGATTATGATTGTGTTTTTATATTAAAAGCACATGACCATTCTAACTATCCTGGTGATAGAGAGTTTAAGTAGAAAGGATGAATGCTCTGGAGACATAGGTATGTCCAATCAAACTGCAGCTCTCATTCCAAAGGGAACAGAGAGTGTATTCTGTGCCAAACATGAGTGACCGTGCCCCGGGACACATGGATTCACGTTGCTCCAAATGGCATGCTCCACCCTGGAAGTGATTATAGGAGCTTTTATAGTCACAGGGTAAACCATAGTCATAAATCACAGCATTTTCCAAATACATTCGCTGGAACAGTTACAGCGGTGGAAGAATCTGGGCCATAGGTCTCCCATGCTCTGTGATGGCGTTCTTAGCTTGAGGATTAGCGGAGGGGAGTGGTCTGTTGAGAATACACAGCCAAGTTTTCACCTCTGTGTTAAAAGGTCTGATAAGCGCTCTTCAGGAAACTTAGGACAATCCAATGTAATTTTAGCTCTGAATCAGCAGCATTCCAACTCTCCACAGCCGTGAAGTTCTAGACAATCTAAGAACCATCATGTAGCTGTGGCTTAGAGAACTTGGGTTCCCAGTTCCTAGTAGAGCACTTTCGAGGATGCTGGAGGTCCTAGTCTCAATCCTTAGCACCTCAAGGAAAAACAAAAAAAGAAGGTGGACAGTGCTGCTGTTGACAGTCCCCTGCCTCCTGAGATTTTTTGGTGGGGGGCGGGGGGGGGGGCGCGTGTGAGTGTGTGTGTGTGTGTACTTAGAGAGTCTTTAGCTATGTTCTAAATGTGTGTGATGCATGTTTGCCAGACACCAGGTTGCCGACTGAACTGGTTTTAGGAGAGTCCTTTAGGGTTAAACTTAGCAGTTTACAAACTTCACTCACAGTGATAGTTTGCGCACCCTTTTAAAAGCTTAGTTTTAAAACACATAGCTTAGTTAGGTGGCCAGGCAAACTGCTAAGGTGGTTTCCTTTTTCTCTTCAAGTTCGTGAGGCAGCTGGTGCTTTGTTCTCTTCTGAGAGACGTCTCTCAGAGCTGCACAGCCATGAACAGTAAACATGAACCAAATGCCTGATGCTCTCTCTGTCTCTGTCCTGTGAGAGAACCGGGAGTGGGGATTCAGCCGAAAGAAAGAACAGTTTAGAAGCTGGTAAAACCGTGTACACTTTAGTGTAAAAAAATACCTTTAACACACACACACACACACACACATACACACACAACAGTACTACGAATTCTGATAATCCCCCTGGTAAGGAGGTAAAACCAGAGTAGTTTCTCTTCCTCTTGGTTGAGAGTTCAGTGTTCCCGGAGGTCAAGTGTCGGGATAGGTTCTTAGAAAACATGGCTGAGAGAGTTGCATACAGGTAAGCTCAACACTTGTGAGTGGAGGCAGGGGAATCTAGAGTTCAAGGCCAGCCTTGGCTGTACAGTGAGTTAGAAGTCAGCCTGACTATTTGAGATCCTATCTCAAAGAGAAGGTAAGTACACATTTCCTTTGGGGCCTGACTTATGTTGAGAGTGGAATTAAAGGCTGGAAGGTGATGTTCCTATCCCTGGGGGTACTCCAAGTTTGGAGTTAGGCTTGGAGCTGGCAGGGAAGTGTTGGGTTCCAGACTGTCTGGTAGAGAGCCCTGTGTGGGCCACTTCTGCTGTGCCTGTGGTGGGGGAGGGTGCTGAGGAATGCTGACTTTGAAATCTGATTAGCATTTTGCTAGCATGTGAATTTTAAGAAGAGGAAATACATGACAAAAATCTGAGAGAACCGGCATTTCAGACTCCAGATAAACCAACTAAATAAACTGGGAAAGGAAAAAAAAAAAAAAAAAAAAAGACCTCCCAGTCAGTTTGGTCTCCAGAGAAGCAAGCAGGCCACACTGTTGTCAGGAAACAGCAGATAAGCTCAGATGTTATTTCCCAGAGGCCTGGTTTCCTCTGCTTCCCATCCCTCTGAGCCTTCATGCCAGTGACTTTGAAGGCGGTGAACTCCTTGGGGCTCGAAACAGTGTCTGTGTCCAGGTATGGGTCTGTCACATGAAAGCCTGATAAGCTAGGAGCTCAGGCCTGTTAGAAAGGCAGTGACCTGAGAGCTGAACAGCCCTGAGGATAAGGTGGGGTCCGTGAGACTGGAATTTCAAGTCAGTAGCAGGGATTGTACAAAGAGATTGCCGGGAGTCTCAGGGTGAGAGCTGTATAGAGCCGTGAACTTTGAGTTCCAGGGTTGGAGCTGTTTAGGGAAGGAAGTAACATGATTAGCTTTGCATTTAGAAATACTCTATCAGTTCCTTTGGGCTGCTTTGACTAGAATTCCGGTAGACGGGTTACTTCAAGTTTATCTTCTGTAATTTTTGAAACGAAAAAGTCCAAGAAGGAGGTACTGGCAGATTCAGTGTCTGGTGATGGCCTGGTCCTGGCTGGTAGATGGTGCCTGATGCCTTCTCATGTGGAAGGGGCAAAGCATTCCCTTGTCCTTAGTTTATATGGTTAACTAATCCATTTATGAGGCCTCACCTGCCTATCTCCCAAAGGCCCTGTTCCTTTGAAATACCGCTTCAAGGTAATCCTGTTACCTTGAAATTGGGGTTTATTTTTTATTTTTTGAGACAGAGTCTGTTTAGTCCAGGCTGGCTTTTAATCTATATATAGTAAGGATAATCTTGAATTCTGGATCTTCTAACCTCCACTTTCTGAGTGCTGGAGTTACAGGCTTCCAGCACCAGAGCCAGTTTGGGGTTAGGCCTCACTGTAGGGATTTGGGGAATCATTAGCGAGACCCTCGACAGGGTGGGAGTATAGTTCAGAGGCAGATCGTTTGCTGGGTGTACTTGAAGCTCTGTGTGTGATCCCCTCCCAGCAAATGAACAAAACCCAAAGGCAAATATATATAATTTGTACACACACACACACACACACACACACACACACACACACA